TGGTGGTGGAGAGAAGGAAACACACAAACAGACCACAAAACCTGGATTTCTAACATCCACTCTGGGTCTCTGAGCAAGACAGCACAACAGCAGCCCACTGCTGCCCAAGGGGATGGGTTAAATGCAGAGATACATGTTAATGGTTGTTTTCCTGCTCATACACAATAGAATATTAAAGAATGGTTTAGCTGAATTAAAACATTTCTGAAAAAAGAGTGGGCAAAAATTTTCTGTGGCCTCATTAGAGGCTTGCTTCAAACACCTAAAATTAATGCTTGTGCAGAAGGTCTCACAATCAGTTATAAATTATAAAGAAAATAATATTGAGCCAGGTTGGTTGATATTTATATTTTCAATAGATTAAAGGTGATAGCTATAAGTTTAACTCCTTCTGTCCAGTAAGTGAAGCGATGGAGGCTAATGCTAACGCTAACCTTTGGATGATCCTCAGCTCTATCACAGAGCTCCTAAGGTCACTGCCTGAGCTCCAGGTGGGGAGTGGTGGCCTAGCGGTTAGAGCAGTGTGCCTGTCTCTGAGAAGGTAGCAAGTACCAGGTTTGATCCCCACAGCCTGCACTCTGGGTTCCTGAGCAAAACGCCTAAACCATGATTGCTCCTTAGGCCCCGCACAATAGCAGCCCACTGGTCCCAAAGGGGATGGATCAAATGCAGAGATGAATTTTTCCATTGTGGGACAATAAAGGGATTTACATTACATTACATGACTTCAACCTGCTATTCGTATTGGTGGAAAATTCTTCCTTTTTGACATTGGAGTTGTAACCAGAAGTCAATATTTATATATTTTGGACCTGGCAAAGTTTATAAAATGCATTTTCTTTAGGGGAAAAGTAATACTTCTGCACTAATCCAGATGTTCTGTGGATGCATATTTTCTAAAAAAAAAAAAAAAGGTTTTGATTAAAAGGTTGTAGCTACGATCTTTAAATCATAATTCAATTTTTTTTTACTGTAATTAAATCGATTATTTCTATACACAATTATAATTATTCGGATTATCTTAAAAGAAAAACAAAAACAGAGGAGGTTTTGTCAAAAGAAAATATTTTCAGAAAGCTCAGATGTTTATTTATAAAAAAGTTTAGACAGCCCTAACTCTTTTGTTGCACCTCAGAATTATGTTCTACTTTGTATTTTAGACTAAGAAACAACCCAGGAAATTCCAAGCAGCTTTTTTCCACTATAAACCTCCTTCTCAAACCACAATCCGTTGCCACAATATTTCATTCCACTGCTATGCTGATGACATACAGCTCTATATAAATGTCACAGCTGACACCCAACCCTCACAGTCATCCCCATCAGGACTCACCACCTGTCTGGAGGAGATAACGGTATGGATGGAGCAAAACTTTCTTCAACTCAATAGCTCAATACCTCTTTCTACCACCTCCATAACATTTCCAAACTCCATCCCACTCTCTCCTTCCCAGACGCCAAATAGCTGGCTCATGCCTTTGTCTCCTCCAGAGTGGACTATTGCAACACACTTCTCATTGGGATTCCTAGAAAGTGTCTGCAGAGGCTTCGGTATATTCAAAACTCTGCAGCTAGGATCCTGATGAGAGTGCAGAAACATGAGCACATTACTCCCATTCGTTACACTGCCTTCCCATCTCCACCAGGATTTAGAACAGAGTTTCCCTCATCACACATCAGTGCATCCATGGGCATGTCCCCCCCCTACCTCAAAGAACTTATCAACCCACAGAACACAACCTGCTTCCTTCGTTCCACTCATTCAAACCTCCTCCACATTCCCAGAACCAGACTCAGAACAATGGGAGATGGGGCATTTTGTGCTGCTGGCCCACACCTGTGGAATGCCCTCCCTGACACCTTGAGGACACCTCAATCCATGTTTTAAAATCCATGTTTTAAAAAAGGCCTCAAAACATTTCTTTTTAGCAAAGCTTTTGGTCCGATTTAGATGTTTTTCTTTCTTCTAAAACTAGCTTTGTCATGCTTTTCTCTTTTTTGCCCGTAGCACTTTGAGATCTTTTGATGGAAAGTTCAATATAAATTAAATGAACTATTACTATTATTTATCTATCACAGAAAATGCGAATAATATTGTGGCTGAAACAAGATCAAACAGGGAGACTGAAAGGCGATCAGTGATTTACACTCAAAGAGATGAGTTTTAAAGCAGATCAGAATGTTTTCATTGGCTGTACAGGAGACAAGAAGCCTGAGAAACAAAGGTTAGATGATACCTTCCTTAGACTCAAAAGAAAACAATTGATGGCCTCCTTTACTGGTCATACTATAGGTATTTATTGCTGTCTTTGACGATGTTGAACAAGTATTATTAAAGCCTAATCGTGGGACTTGAAATGAGAACCAGCTGTAGGTAAAGCAGTGTGAGAAATGAACTGTGCTTATGTCAATTCCTTGAGAACCACAGGTAAACATTGTTCCCTTTTTATTAAAGATATTTCACGTCAAAATGTTTATTTTTTTGTTCTTTACATGTAAGACATAGAATATGAGAAAGAAATTTTTCCTTTACCCTATTCCAAAATCATAATGGAAAACTTTCAGAAAACTACAAACATTAATTTGTGGCCTGAGTGGGAATAAAAGAAGAAATGGTCCTCCCACAGGAAGAAACTCCAAACACTCCCCAACGCCCTTTTGAGATCCCACATCCATCCATGCTCTTTTCTTTTCAAACTAAAAAAAAATCCTTTGTCTTATTTCATTGTTTCTTACCTTCACATTAAACTGACTAGTAAAAAAAAATGGAAAATAAAATGCAGACCTAACTGCATTGAAATGTTGAAAAACAAAAATCCCAGCAACAAATTACAGGAAGAATGAATAAAGACTGCATGACTCAAACCTCATGACTCTGTCACCACTGTCCTGTTTGTCTGAAAGTGTGTTGGCAACCGTTTGATTCACTTAGAGGAACCAAATCAGCAAACAACAAAGATGAAAAGTCAGCTGACCAACAATTTTATCCACAGTATAATTGTAAAATCTAGTGCCTGTATCTGTTACTATAATACATGAATATTAATGCCCTTAATTGCTGGAGCTTGTTTGGTGCTTTGGTCTAACAGATAGAGCTGCATACTGTTTCTAAAAGACAGGGCAGGAAGTATTAA